ATCTGACAATTATTGAGCAAGTTACCTCGCAAACACCATGTTGCGGGTTAAAAATAATCGCACATGTAACCATCTTATAGATGCATCTTATGTGGTATACATGACAGGTGAATGAGCCCATATTCACTTTTGATATTTCCAGCATTCATGGGATTCAGTCCCAATTTTAATCGGTCTATTAATTAATGAGAACACCATAAGAGAATTCGTACAAAATTTTCTAGTTCTTTAATATTTACCCATGTGAATTCTCTTTTATTTTTGCACATCATACTTAAATATCATGGCTAAACCAATTATGCCAACTGAATAAATTATCAATATTGATAAAGTTCAGGTTTATACCATGACGTGTGCAATTATCAATAAACTCCAAGTTTATTATGATATGAGTTTTTATATCATTAAACATCCACTTTATTGTGGTATTCTTTTATTTGTGTAGTACAAATTGGAGAATAAGCGGGTAATTTTTCACATACATATTACCCCGCTACAAGTTGTAGTAATAAAAGATATTAAATCTTTTCTTTATTTATAGTCTCAACTCTCAATATAACCAACCGCTTTCGCGAATACCTTAGAAACTCAATTAAGTTTCTTTGAGACTCACTACAACATAATGCCTTATTGATACTAATTTTATTCCTCCAAAATAGTAACAATTGGCTCTTCCAGAGCTCTCATTTGATTTGGTACTACCACATATTTATCAACATCCATATGGTGAATATGTCTTTTAAAGAGAAAGCTATACCATTATGGTCATGGTCAGAATTCTATACAAGATCTGTTACTTGCATTACTGTTGCCCTTTAATAATCACATCGCCAAAATATTTTGGCGTACAATAGGTATGTGACCAATGACCATTCATGCCATAATAATGACATTATTTTCTTATTTCCCCTCAAACCTCATCCTAGAAGTGAGTGTGGTATATTCACTACCACTAGCACGTTCATATTCTTCCAAGAATGAATATGTATTCATAAATCACATGTTGTCACATTCACATCATGGATGGACCATAATCATCTATATGTGATTTATAAAATCTCATGTCAAATCGATGACAAATATTACTTTCACAAAGTGAAGGATTATTTTGAGAATCCTTATTGTTCTCATTACCACAATGATGATGATGATTATAATTTCGTCTATTGCCACGTCCACATCCATTGATACATTAATAGTAATAATTTTGTTTTCTTTTAGACTTATCACATACTGCTATCACATTTTCTTAAGAGAATGAGAATGAAGCAAATACAATGGGATGGGTTTTCAATAGTTTGCCCACAATCATACATGAATTTAATCATGGCAAGGCATAAAAATTTTACCACTTTGGGTGGTTATAATTTCTTTCAAACTTCATTAGAGTTGCAATAAAAAAGTATCGTCTTTGATTGTATTTAAAATCAAATTATAAAATGTCAAGAATTTAAAAGAAAAAATTAAAGTAAAACACTTACATTAAATCCAGAATTTAATCATGAAGGAAGTTCATGGAACAATTGACAATCATTATGCTCAATCCGAAAGCTTCTACTCAATTGGTTAGAGTCTCGAGCTGATAACTTGTTATAAAACAATAAAAGAAGAATATTGCAAAGAAAGAGAGAGAATTCTTATTGCTTTGGGATGAATTACAATGGAATAGAACCCCTCTATTTATAGAGAAAAAGTGACTTAGCCACCAAATAAAATCCCTAAAATCTCATTCACCTTAAATACAATTCTATTTATAACATATTTTAAATTATACTCCTCATATGTGAATTTCGTTTAACCGTTCTAAGTTTGAATAAAAGACAGAGAATTGGCATTTGGCGTAAAAGTCTAATCTTGCCAATTAAGAATTAAATAACAGCCATAGCTTCTCCTCCTCTAATAAACAAAATTATATTTTCATTCAAGAAAAAGAAAAAAATAGTAAGTCAGAATATTAAAAGTAGTTAGTTGTGATGAACCATGGCCTTTTAATAAATGTCCAAATAAAAAAAGGAGGTTAAGATGTTTGGATCAAAGATTGTAGCCCTTTACCAATTCCCTTTTCCTTTTGGGAAGTAAGTCAAAGTTGCTTTTCTATCTGTTTCATCATCAATTTTGTACACCAACTATTCTTGATATAGCATTTTTTTATATATATATAATAATGGTGTCTAAATCAATTTATGCATATTTTGGTAAATATCAATGAACTTGCCTAAGCAAATAAAAATAAATTATGCATTTTTGTATCTCAATAAGATTTGAATTCAAGTCTACATGTTAAATGATACAGTATTTAATATTTATATCAACCCAATAAATACGTGATATTAATGGACCTAATAAATTAGCTATTTATTAGAATTTTTGTTTGTTGAGACACTAGGAGTTGGCTGGTTATTTTTGTCATACACATAAAGTCACATGAACACGTGGTTAAGTGTCACACTTTAACTAATTCGCATCAGCTCCTTATAATTTTTTTTAAAATTCTCTTGCCCATAAATGTATATTTTTTCTCTAAAGATAGTGTGAATAACCAATCCACGAAATCGATGTATTAGTAACAACAACAATAACAACGAGCACCTAATAAAATTTCACTAGTGGGTTTGGGGAGGGTAGTGTGTACGCAGACCTTATCCCTACCCCAAGGGAGTAGAGAGACTGTTTCTGATATCCTCCGCTAAAAAAGACGAAAAGAGACAATATCAGTACGACCAATAGAAAACATAGGAAAAATAACATCATAAAAATGAGAAGGTCAAATACAAAGCAAAAGCGATAGACAGTACATAGACCCGACACTATGAAAAATAAAAGAGTAGTAAGACATACCATTGCTACTAGCTGACTTCCACATAATAATAATAATAATAATAATAATAATAATAATAATAATAATAATAATAATATTAATAATAATAATAATAGTATATTTTAAAGTCTTCCTTTTTATTTGTGTATGTTCAATTTGGATGTCACAACTTACTTTGAAACAAATTCTAGATTCAATAAAAAAGTGATCTACCTGTGAATATTATTAGTTAAAGAAGACCAAATTTGTTAAGGATTGTGTCCTTTTCTTCACTTGGGACTATACATGCCTTTTTTTTACTTAACCTTAGTTAATAATACGATTAAATTAAGATTAAATGAGAATCCCATACTAATATAACCTATAATCCCCTAAATTTTAAAGAAGATGCTGCTTTAATTAATTATTGTCCTAATTGCGCTGCTGCATCTCGCCAAAGTGCATTTAATGGCTAGTAATTATTCGTTGACAATCTCTTTAAGTAAATTAATTGGAACAGTTGTAGAGAGACTTTGGAATGATATTCCTTGTTTTTTTTAATTTTTGTTTTTTTGATAAACTAGATAAATAAATAAAGCTCAATAATAAAGTCTAGCACCAACGCTTAACATTTTCTTTTTAAAGGAGAAATGGGGAAAGCAATTACAAAGTGGGGAATAGAACCTTTACCAACAAGATAAAAATTCATGTAGCCAATTTTATTTAACATTATTTTCTTATTATTAAATTGTTTCCGGAAAAATTATCACATTTTTATATTTGAAAATAATTTAATACTTGAGAAATATTTTTTAAAATATTAATAATTTAATATATAGCTTTTCATAGTTGCAAGAATCCCATGGAATATATATTTAAGAAGATAAGTTCCGAATTTCTTTAATTTAAATTCCGTGCTCAAGCGAACACTGCCATATAAATTGAAATGGTAGTAGCACCATTCCTTTTTCTTTTTCCATTGAATTGAAAAGGGATTATTGATAAACAATGGGAATCTCTTTCCTAAAGATATGGTAAACACAAGTGGGAAAGGAACACTTGTATTGCAAAATTGTTATATATTTCATCAAAAGATAATGTAGAAATTGTAAAGAGAGACTTGTTCAATTAAAAACAAATGATTTCAAATATTTATTGGAAAATCCATACTTGAAAAAACAATATATCACTGTTAAAGGTCATTAATTGTATATACAACTAGTGATGGACTAACTGGTAAACCTCTTCAACTCAATAGTTTACTTTCAAATCCCTTTTTAATTGTTAAATATAGCATTTCCATTGACTTATTTTCATGGAGGTTTTACAAAAAAATTTGTTTTAAGAAATTGTCGTTATGCTCTAACTTTCATTCAATTAATCAATCAACCATACTACAATCTCAAATACCCCTATCGTATGGTAAATGGTTTATAAAAGCCCCCGTCCATCTATCCGTCTGAATATATACATGACGTTATTTCTAATATCAAATTTACCCCCACGACTAACGGAATTCCATGTGTGCATCTCATTAACTGATGTGGCCTTTTTTCATTTGTCCACGTGGATCAGTGGGGCTAACATTATGTTTGGGTTTTTTTTTACCCATTAAACCGATTCGACCCATTTCTTTTACCTATGGGTCGGTCTTTTAACCCTAAACCCACCGACAAAATACTTACTTTTTACCATTTCTCTCATTTCTCTTCCGTTTCTTCTATCTAAACTATCAATGGCGAATTTAGGGCTTTGTTAGGGTTCATTGTCTGGTCCGATTTTGGTGCGCTCAAAACAGAAAGACCTTTGATTTCCAGCGATATCTTGCATTATTATTCGATTAAGGTAAGTATTTACTGCTTAAAATTATTAAATTGTAGGGTTGGGGAATATTTGGGAACTGACAGGTTTATGTCTGGTGCATGTGAAGTTTTTATGTTTTCTGAGTTATTTTTTGTATCTTTCTAGAATTTTATTTTGTTACTTTTGTTTTTGGTGGTCCGTATCATATTGGTCCTACTTATTAAAGCTATTGTTTTTGTCTATTTGTATATTTAATTGATGGTGGGGTTTCAAATCTTTGTATTTTTACTGTCGCTTTGTATTATAATGCTGATGTGGTCCCAATTTGCCTTTTTTTTTTATTGTTGTTGCATGTGATTTTATCAGAAGGATGTGGATAAAGTGAACTTATATTTTAATCATGGGGGTGAGTGGGTATTGGAACCTACGTTGTCTTATACTAAGAGAGATGTGCACGTGTTGAGTGGCTATGAAGTAGACCATCTCTCTTATATTGATTTGTGTAAAGAATACACTGAAGTGATAGGATATGTTGAGGTACAACAGGTGATATTTCTTGACCCTTCTGGGAGGTATTTTTTGTTAGATGGGGATGAAGGGATTAGGAAGATTCAAGCCCTAATTAATGATGGTTTCACTAATGTATAATTATTTGGGGTTGACCTGTTAGATGATACTGTTAATGTTCCTGTATTTACCCAGTATACAGCAGCAGTAGATAGTGTACCTGTTGTTGCAGCTTCTGATTGTGATAGTACTGAAGATGATTTAGACATTGAAAGTGTTGATAGTGATTATGATAGTGATGCCCTAGGTTTATTTGAGAGGCAGAAGAAGTGTGAGGTAACTGACAACCTTGATAGGTATAAAACATTGGAAAAGGGTATGACTTTCAAAGATCTTGCTGAAGCTAAGGAGGTTATTGGTTATTATGCTGTGTCTAATAAGAGGGGCCTTAAGGTAGATAAGAGTGATAAGAAAAGACTTAGATACAAGTGTCAGATAGGGTGTCCTTTTAAATGTCTTATTTCTAAGGATGGCAAAGATCAAGGGGTAAAGATAAAAACTTGGAGGGATGAACATGATTGTAATGAAGTGTTTGAGAACAGAAGAGCTACTCCTGCTGCTTTAGCACATTATTTTAAGAGAAAGATTCAAAATAATCCTAAGTTTAAGATTAAAGAGATGAAGATTGATTTAGAGGATAGATTTAGTTTGAATGTGAGTGCCTCAAAGTTAAAAAGGGTAAAGAGAATGGTTTTAGAGAAATTGGAGGGTTCTTACTTGGATGAGTACAACAAATTGGAGGCATATGCTCAAGAGTTGAGAGAAACAAACCCTGGTACTGATGTGGTGATACAGATATCCAAGGATGCAATGGAGGAAGGTAAGAGAAGATTTTTGAGGATGTATGTCAGTTTCCAAGCCCTGAAGAGTGGATTCAAAGCAGGTTTGAGACCTTTTATAGGTCTAGATGGAACATTTTTAAAAGGCAAATGCAAAGGGATGTTGTTAGTTGCTTGTTCTCAAGATTCTTGCAAGCATTTTTATCCACTAGCTTGGGCTGTAGTGGATAAGGAAACAAAGACAACCTGGCAGTGGTTCATGGAGAACTTGAAGGCTTCTTTGGAATTGAAAGATGGTGAAGGGTACACATTCATGTCAGATATGCAGAAGGTATGTTACCATATGCAGATTTTTACATTCAGCAATTTTTTACATTTAGCACATTCTTTGTTAATGTAATGTTTCTTTGTGTAGGGTTTGTTAGATGCTGTGAGGAATGTATGTCCACAATCATATCACAGATATTGTGCAAGGCATATTGAAGCAAATTGGAGCAAAAAATGGAATACTGATGAGATGAAAAAGTTAATGTGGTGGTGTTCTTGGAGCACATATGAGGTGGAATTTAAGGACATGTTGAAACAACTAGGTGAAGTTTCTGAGGATGCTGTCAAGGACTTGCTGAACTATCCTCCAGTAACTTGGTGTAGAGCTTACTTTGATACCCAATGTAAGAATCCAATGGTGGACAACAACTTTACAGAGTCCTTCAACTCTTGGATTCTTGAAGCTAGACATAAGCCAATAGTGAAGATGCTTGAGGATATAAGAGTGAAGGTGATTAACTGCTTGTTTACTGATTTAATACTGTTGATTAACTACTGATTTCATACTGTTGATTAACTACTGATTTACTATGTTACTGATTAACTATTGAAGGTGATGAATCAACTAAAGGATAGAGCAGAAGAAGTAAACAGTTGGAGAGGTGAATACAGCCCATATGCAATGGAGTTATACAATGATTATAGAGAGATGGCTTCAAAGTGCAAGGAAAATTTTAATGGAGAAAGGGGTTTTGAAATAAGTGAAGGTGAAGACAGGCACACGGTGATTCTGGAGCAACAAAGGTGCACATGCAGGCTTTGGGACTTGTTTGGAATCCCTTGTGCTCATGCTATCAGGGCATTCTTATATAAGAAACAAGACCCAACAGTTGGGATTCACTGGTGGTATTCCAAACAAGCCTGGCAGTTGGTGTATCAGCACAAACTGCAGCCTGTTAGAGGTGAAAGATTCTGGAAAATTGAGCCACACCAAGCCATGGATCCACCACCACTAGCAAAGATGGTTGGTAGACCTAAAGTGAAAAGGTCAAGAGAGAAGGATGAAGCTAGGAAAAGGCAAGGACAATGGTCAACATCTAGGAAGGGTCTTCAGATGACTTGCAGTTTTTGTGGCCAGCCAAATCATAATAAAAGAAGTTGTCCATTAGCCAACAAGGTATTCTTTCTATTTTGTAGTTTATACTCACAATCTGTTTTTTTTACTCACAAGATAACATATATATTTGATTATAATTACAGTCAAAGAAAGTGCAAGACCACACTCAGACAAATGAAGACCAAGAATCAATATTCTTTATGGTACCTACTCCAGGTTTTAAAGCACAAGACCAACAATCCAGTCACACCACTCAGCATCCAACTCAACCATCCAGTCATGACACTCAGCAGCCAACTCAGCAATCCAGTCACACCACTCAGCAGCCAACTCATCCATCCAGTCATGACACTCAGCAGCCAAGTCAGCAATCCGGTCACACCACTCAAATGCCAACTCAGCACTCCAGCACTCAAAGTATTCAGACCAGAAGAATGCTTATTCAAGCAGACTTTGGTGCAGATTCTGACCCAGTCTTGAGGCCTAAGGTTGTGCATGATATTAAGACTAGACTTCAGCGTAGGAATCAACAAAATTCTGGCACTAGGAAGATACCATTCACAGGTGATCACACTGGTGCTCACAACCAACAAAACTGCCATACTCCCCAAAGAAAACTACCTGGAAGGGGAAGGAATCAATGACAACAGCTCAATTGTTGGGTGTGAAAGAGAAAAAGATTGGCAAACTCAAAGCTAGAAGAGGCAAGGGGAGGGGCAAGGGGGAGTAGTGTAGCAAGAAATGCTGAATGTAATATACATTAAAATCCTTTTTTTGCATGACTGTTCAGTACATGATGTTTGTTTATGTTCTAGGTTTTTAGACAAGTAAATGTTGTGACAGTGCTACAGGTTTTTGGATCACACATTTACTTGTCTAATAGCAATGTTTTGTTGGGCTTAAATCTTGAAACAATGTAAATTTGCTACTCCATTAATGGCAATGTTCTTCTTGTCTATCTATAACAGATTTCAAGTTGTTATTGTGATAGTCTGTGCATGTGGAACTTTAGAAATGCAGAATTTAAATGTTAACAGAGAACCATGGGTAACAAACTTTATTTCATACCAAAATTTAAATGAAGATAATGCTAACAAACTTCATTTCATACCAAAAGAGAACCATTACAAATGCAGAATTACAAAAGGAAACATAATACATAAACATTACAAATGCAGAAAAAGGAAAAAAACAGAAACTAATACATAAACATCTGCACTACATCATCTTGAAAACTAGTACTAACACAAAGACATAATACATAAACTTCAAACTTCATCAAAACATAATACATAAACTTCAAACTTCTGCATCATAACATAGCTACACCATAACATAACTACACTACATCATCTTGAAAACTAGTACTAACACAAAGACAGTCCAAGAAAACACAATAAACAACTTCATATTTTGTAGTTGAGCCTCCATCCTAGCAACCTTCTGTAATTTTGCTGAATTAATTCCCTCGACCTCTTCCATTATTTTCTCCATTTTCAGTCTTTCAGCAGAAACAACAACTTCCAAGTTAGCCACCATCTTCTTCAGATAATTTCTTTCAACTTCCACTGACTTCAGTGAAGTATTCAAGTTATGGATTAGCATCGTCACATGTGGTGGCATCTCTTCATCACGCCATTCCCACAAACCACAAGAAGAGGCCTCGTCAAAACGAGGGCATTTGTAGAATCGACGACCACCGTTCAATTGAGTCTTAGCCACAAAATGATTTGCAGTTAAACCACAACCACAAAGACGCGACGAACCAGAAGAGACAGAATTTTCAGACATTTCGAAGGGAAAAGACAAGATTTAATTAGTTGTAAAAGAGAAATTTTAGGGAAGAAGAAAGGGGAATAGAGGAACTGATGACCTATGCTCTAAATTGGGGAAGAAACGAGTAAAAATATGGGTTTAGGGTTAAAAGACCGACCCATAGGTAAAAGAAATGGGTCGGATCGGTTTAATGGGTAAAAAGAAAACCCAAACATAATGTTAGCCCCACTGATCCACGTGGACAAATAAAAAAAGGACACATCAGTTAATGAGATGTACACATGGAATTCCGTTAGTCGTGGGGGTAAATTTGATATTAGAAATAACGTCATGTATATATTCAGACGGATAGATGGACGGAGGGCTTTATAAACCATTTACCATACGATAGGAATACTTTTGGCCCTTTTCCGTTCTAAAAATCATATGTATCTTCTCTATTAAAAGCATTTAGATTACTCACCATTATTCTTAATCTAGTGTAACATTTTTTTTTATTCGGATGTAAAATCGATTATGTATTGGACTTTCATAGGCGAAGTTATTTTTTAGTTTAACTATTTGATTTTATTCACTGGCAATCTCTTACGGCAAATTTGTATTTACATCAGATATTGACCCCTTTAAAGGAATTCCCAATTGAACCGTAAAAATAACACGTGCTAGTCAGTTTTCGGATTTGTCATTTAAAAATAATCAGCGTTTGCAAAGTCATTGAAAAATAGCCACTATTTTGCTGCAACACAAAAAGTTCCAGCATAATATACTGGAGATCGGTGCACCTGTGTATGAATTTCCAGCATATTATGCTGCAACTCTAATACGCGGAAAGTTCCAGCATAGAAAGTTCCAGCATAATATAGTGAAGATTGGAGTACCTGTGTATATGCTGGACCGGTATATTATACTGGAACTCCAGTATATTATGCTGGAAGTCAAGTATAATATACTGGAGTTCTAGTATACTTATGCTGGAACTCTAGTATAATATATTGGAGTACTCCAGTATATTATACTGGAATTTCAATATATTATACTGGAATTTCAGTATATTATACTGGAGTATTTTCCGGATTTTGAACTGTATTTTTATTCAAATTTATCTTTACGTGAAAGATGGCTAAATTTTGATTACTTTTGAAACTATAACTATTTTTGAATGACCACCTATAAATCTAGCTATTTTTGAATTTCTCCACTTAAACCCAATAGGCGGGGTTAATGATCTGAAAAAATAAATAAATAGGTATAAAACAATAGAAACTTTATTGGTTGAGTTTAAAACTAAAATTAGTGGTAGCTGTAATAACTATAAATAGAAACAAAGCAAAAGAGCTCCACAGAAAAAAAGTTAAAAACAGTATATGCTGCAGTGCCTAATATTCCTAAGAAAAACGATAATAACTACGTATTCTACAAAATTATTCCGTCAATAAAGTTTATAAAAATAAAAGAACCTCGTGACGGTAATCACGCTACTAGTACTATTTTAACTAAAGCTTTAATAAGGGAGCACGTATTAAGTACAGTAATTATTTAAATTGTGTTGCCCAATTTAAGAAGATCTGACAATGAAGCAGCTGCAGCTTCAATTCTTGAGCCACTAATGTCCTAGGAGGGAAGAGGGTGCAAACTCAGAACAAACACAAATAAAGGAAAAGTGAAAAAGAAGGCTCTTATTTTCACACCATTCTTTGTCAGAAAAACACACACACACACACACACACCTAGTCCATAGATTCAGACCCAGAACCCAGAAAAAAAGACAAGTTTTTTGAGTAAATTCAAGAATGGTGTTGGTAACTGAAGAAGTGATCAAGCAGTTGCAAACCTTAATGGATGAAAGTTAGTTTCTTTTACTACATTTCTTTGACTTTGGATCTCTAAAGACTTAACATTCCCTTTTTTATTTATTTTTAACTCAATTATCTATTTGCAGTTGCTGAGCCACTTCAGAAGACTTACCAGGTTTTGCTTCTAATTTCAACTTTCAAGATTTTGCTAATTTATGATTTGAAAATGTTATGATTTGATCTGGCTATTTCTTGATGTTGGTTTATTATATTATGTCCATAAATCTCATTTTCTGAATCTTGGTTAGTTAATGCCAAGTCAAATACTAGTTTGTATCTTTCTTGCATTTTCAACTTAAGAAATTCTAGTTTTGGTTTTGTTGCCCAAATTGCAACCGATTTGCTTTTATTTTCTTTTTGGTGGTGGGCTAATTATGAATTAGGATGCAATGACTTAGATGGGTTTTTGCATATTAATAGTTTAACATGATAAGATAAAGTATTCATGGAGATAAATGTTCAAAGCTTGCATCTTGATGCAGAATCTGAAGTCACCTAAATGAAAATTGGTCAAAATATGCAGCTAAAATTTATTTTTTGTTTGAAAAAAAGAAAAAGAAAACACCCTTGTTCCTATTTATGTACGTATACAGTCCGCAGTTGGAGATTGTTTAGCCTAGTTAAACAGCAGGCTATCACCAAAGACTTATATCTGTAACTAAAGGTCAACTTGATGGCACCAGTAGCTAATTGAAGTTTTGAGCCAAAGATTGGTCCTTTACTCTCTTATTGTGGCGGGCGATCTTTTTGGTTATCTGAGACTTCAAAAAATTTGGCATGCATCTGGGATTTTAGTCTGATTCTTCATTATCAACTCTCTGGGAGTGAATGGTATTTCTCTCTCTTTTTTTAAAAAAAAAAAAAATTATTTGGCTAAAGAAAGTTATAATCTCACATAGCAGAACTACAGAAGGGGTTTAATTACTGTTTTAGAGAAAGGTGATCGATCATCAAAATACTCTTACAAAAATATAAGTCTTACACATCTGGCATATTATTGAACTGGCCGAACAAAATAAGATGAGCTAAGCATTTTGGCATGTGCAATAGTTTGATAGTGAGGGGAAAGTTAGCTATTGTTTCGTTGCCAATGGTAATTATAGATTTGAGGAACAAAAATGGATAACTCTGTAGTGACCATACTAATATGAGGTCTCATAATTTTTGCAGAATGTACATCAGGGGTACCGAACCGAGACACTGGTGAGGTTTCTCAAAGCTAGGGATGGCAGTGTCTCTAAAGCACACAAGATGGTAGGTGCATACAGTTTTCATTCACATTTGAAGCTAAATATTTCTTCAGGATGAATATTTTCATCTGGAGAAATCTTCTAATTGTAATCAGCACTTTGCAGCTTGTTGACTGTTTAAATTGGAGGATAGACAACGAGATTGATCAGATACTTGCAGTAAGTTTTCTCTTATCATAGCATAGGCGTTCTCTGCGTTCATGAGAGTCATAATTTTGAGTTTCTTAAAAGTCTACTTCCATTTTCTGTTCATTGTAGATCCTTGTGTGTTACTTTTTCTTTTTCTTTTCGCTTTTCCCAGCTATTCTCTGGGATATACTTAGATGTTAAAATCATAATGAATTGTCAGCTTGTAATGACCAGATCCAATGGCTACATTATGCAATATAATCTGCTTCGATCATGAAGATATCTACCTTTAGCTCTAATTCTACTGCATCACATATACAACAGATCTGCATAGTCGAAAGTTCCGATCTCGGGGTCCAAATGGGACAAGGAATAATATTCTTTTGAAAAAGCGACAAACCTTAAAAAACCTCAGTTAAACACACAGATGTAATTTTTTGAATGAAACACGTTCAGTTAGTCTCAAATAATAAAGAAGTGAAGGCTAAGTTGGTTCTGACTGTACTATTTGGCTGATATTTGTCATTTATTGTTGCAGAAGCCAATATTACCCACTGATTTGTACAGAGCAGTGAGGGATACTCAGCTTGTGGGGATGTCTGGATATTCAAGAGACGTAATACTTTGATTTGAATATATATAAATTTTCATCGATTAGCTCTCCTCATTTGGGTTATGCAACTTGTTCCCGTTGTGCTTGTCCAATAAAATTCTCATTGTGTGGTTTCTACTTGGTTTTATTCTGTACAGGGTCTTCCTGTCGTAGCTGTTGGTGTAGGGCTCAGCACATATGACAAAGCGTCGGTAAGGGTCATATTTTTTATGTTTCAGCCCTGTTAACTTGTCAACCTTCAACAGCGTCAGTTCAGCAAAAACATAAAAATCAGCTATTCAAACATTTTACCATTTGTCTACAATAGATGGCAATGAAATTGTACTGACATTTTGCTTTTCTCCATTTTAGATTCACTACTATATTCAGTCACATATCCAAATGAATGAATACCGCGACCGTGTAATATTGGTATGTCCTCTATGTTGGTTTATTCAGATACGAGATAAATACAACAAGAATAGCAATGTAGACTGACTGGTGTTCATGTTATAGCCTTCTGCATCAAAGAAATTTGGGCGGTATATTGGGACCTGTATAAAGGTTTTGGACATGACTAGTCTAAAGCTTTCTGCACTGAACCAAATTAAGGTATCTTTAATTTGCTTGACATTGTAAATATATTTCATTGAGCCTTCCTACCAAATTCCTGCCATGTTATTTTCCTTCTCACCGCTTCACTCATCAACCTGATTATTCTGCTTAAAATTTTCATTTGAGGCTATCTGAACTTTAAAATTGAGTAAAGAGTAATGAGAGTGGGAAATACAAGGAAATATAGCATGGAAGTAAAAGAAAATCCTGTCCAGCAGAGATCACACCGAAATAAACTATCAGAACGTCTTGGTTTTGAAGTTGTTGTTTTATAGGGGTATCATCTTTTTCTAGTCAAAACTCCTCCTGGTTATATTGATTCACTTATTTCTGCATTCGCCGTCCACATTGCTATTTCTTGTTAAAGTTTGATAAGACGTTCAATTTTCTCTCTTTCTCCAAATGAAGATTAAGTTCAAGTTTCAGGGGTAAATAGACTCTTCTGAGTGCATTAGGTCATTTGCTATTTACAAAATTTTAACTTCTGAAAAGAAAATTGTAATCATCAAATACTCAAATGACCTAAAAAACCATATAATAGAACACCAAGAAAAGTGTTTTGTGGGTGCTTGAGAAAGAAAGGGATTCACATCAAATACATAAATGTCGGAAAGATATGAACGAGGAAACGGTCACAAGTGCAAGACCAATAGGAGGAGGTTATAGAGGACTTCTGGTGAGTTTACACCAGGGAGGTACCTTGAACCCACACTTCTTTATTCTTGGATGAGCTATTGAATAGTATTTTGGATGAGGTTTTATAGTGCATGGTATTTGTAGATGATATTGACATATTGTGTTGATTGACGAGACTAGCTAGAAAGTCAACCTAAAGCTGAATATAGAAAAGTATTCTAGAGAATAAGGTTTTTAAGACAAGTAACGTAAGACAGAATATATGACGCTACAAGTTTAGTCATTCTAAGAAGAATGTGGGTGAAGTGCGATGTAGGTAATGGGGCCTAAATACGGACAATGCAAATACTTAAAGCTGGGTCTTGTAGGAGAATGACGTGATAGATGAAAATATAGTATGTAAGTCAAGATTGGATAGCCGAAATGGAGTGCGATCGATAGGAGGATTTTATGAAACCAGCAACTTTATATGGGAGTGAGTGTCAGGTTTCTAAAGCCCAACAAATCAATAAAATGATTGTCATAGAAATACAAATGTTAAGATAGATATGTGGCCATGCAAAATTAGATAAGACTAGAAATGAGCACTTCTGAGAGTGTGCAAATAGCAAACAGAAGATAAAATGAGAGGTCGTGTGAGATGTTGCGACAATAATGATTGGAAGTTCTGGATCAGCTAGCATCCACCTGGATTATTCCACCAGGTGCCTGCTACCTCCCACCAACACAGGCACCGGATATATCTGCCCACCAAGACTTAGGCAGTGGGAAGAAATAGCTTTTAGTTGTAAAAATGAACTATTTAGGGTGTGTTTGCTATGGAGGAAAATGGTTTTCCTCGGAAAAGTTTTCCTTGAAATGAGTAGTTTTATCGCTTATTTTCTCATGTCTGGTTGGTGAGTGGAAAACTTTTTCCGAAAAATATTTTTTAGTGTTTGGTTAGTGAGTAGAAATTCTTTTTATCAGAAAATAATAATTTAAGTAAACACTATGGGGTTAGGGGGTGGGGAGGCGAGGGTTTGGGTTGGATGGTAGGGGATGGGGGTTGGGGTATTGGGTATAGGGGTGGGGGTGGGGGTGGGAGGTGGGTGGGGGTGGGTGGAGAATAGGGTGGAGAAGGTTGAAAAAGAATTTTGGACTCTTGGTAGGGAAAATATTTTCCTCCAATTAAAATGAGTTCATGAGAAAAATGTTTTTCAAAATATTTAAGCCAATCAAACATGGGAAAATTGGAAAACGCTTTCCAGAAAATGTTTTCCTTTCATACCAAACACACCCTTAGTACTGAAATAAAATGGATTCAAATATAATGGAATCAACAAATGTGGAGAATTCATATAGCGGACCCAACCAGTTTGGGATGAAGCATTTGATTGATATTGATTATTGAACTGACTTATTCATTATAAAATGGAGTAATATGGTCCTTTGATCTTAAACTTGACATTTTATTTCCTCTTGTAGCTCTTAACTGCTATATCTACCATCGATGACTTAAATTATCCTGAGAAGACAGAGACGTATTACATTGTGAATGCTCCATACATTTTTTCAGCATGCTGGAAGGTTAGTGTATAACTTAATACATAATTCTTTATGACCTAAATCATTTAACCTAAAGCCTAACTCTATATAAACTTGCAGGTTGTGAGACCTCTTTTACAAGAACGAACCAAAAAGAAAGTCCAAGTGCTCTCAGGCTCGGGAAAAGATGAACTTTTGAAGGTAAGATGTCTGTTTTTGAGTCAGTTGCTTTTTAAAGAGATGAACTATTGAAGGTAAGATGTTTTTTGAGTCAATTGCTTTTTATCCCTCGCTTCTCTCACTTCAGGAGAAGCTTTCTGTTACAGATGAATTATTATACTATTCTTTGTAGGATCCATTTTATTCACAGGAAACGATAATGTTCGGTCACACACCTTCATTTTTGAAGGAATACGTGACCTGACTTCTCGTCCAACTCGATTTGTCTTTCTCGCTTAGAGCACTAAAAAACTCTAGTTGTCAACTTGCAGATAATGGATTATGCATCTCTGCCACATTTCTGTAAAAGAGAAGGCTCGGGTTCATCTAAGCATTCTAGAAATGGTACAAATGATAATTGTTTCTCGTTGGATCATGCCTTTCATCAGCAGCTCTATGATTATATTAAGCAGCAAGCTGAAGCATTGGAGGCTGTTGCACCAAGCAAAGAAGGGTCTGTCCATGTGACCTTACCTGAGCCAGATCCAGACGATGCGAAGATTGCTGAAACAATAGAATCTGAATTTCAGAGGATCAGGAAGAAAAATGGAATTTGTCAATCATTTCATGAAATTAAGATCAATGGTGATTGAAGCAGAATGGAAATGGATTTGCATTTTGGCTGATTCACTGTAGTCTTGGTTATTGCTTATTCTGAATCCGGCTTTTACATGAGGAGAGGATTTAAGTAAGCATTGTAATACTAATGGCTTGCATCATCTCGATGCAGGATTTAGATAGAACCTAAGTTGTAACATGGCATTACTACCTTGGAGTGGACTATATGGATGGTACGCTTAAAGAATCCCACGAGGAATTTTACGCGCATTTTGCTTAATTGATCTGCTGCTTTCAAGATTCCTGAATCTTCTCAAGATAGAATAAACTTTCTTCTGGTTGAAGGACTGTAAAGGAAGGGGAGAAAAAGGAGAAACTATGATAAAATAAAAAGGGCCAAAGGAACTTTTCCTATCTCTCTGTGTTTTGTTCATCTGATATAGTGATCTTGTCCAAGCAGAATATTAATAAGAACCTTGGTTTAAATTTTAAAATACCCGTGATTCACCTGTTATATGGAATTGCTTTTACTATTCCTGGCTTTGATATATTAATATTATCACATGAAGCATCCAAGCTATGGGTGATGCCAAATAAACCATTTCCTCTGAATCCTGACATGCAGTTAAGTTTGTGCTGCGACACTTTAGATGGCAAAGAAAATTATTGTTATACTTGGAAAACATCAAAAATTTGATTCAAGAGCCTGGCTGTGGTCTTACAACTAAAAATGGAACAAACCTGTATTCAAATTGGAAATTCACATGCCCTTTGGGATCACAGTTGCACGTTCCCTTTTTTCCCCCCACAAAGACAGCCAGCACATTCATAGACCTTAGAAACAAATTTAGACACCAGGAAGCGCATAAACATAAAAGAATACATGCCTAAATTTACAACACCAATTGTCTTTCATTACTCTGTTCTGGCATAAGTCGCATCCCAAGTAAATCAAATTAGACTTTCAGTGACTTACACATGCAATAACCTCAATTTACATCAGGGAAGCAGAAAGATGTTTTTTACCCAACAATGGAATTTGCACGACAAACGTGAGTTTCTTTACGAATATTAGTTCAGCTGCCTGTAGCAATTGAAGGCGTAGGCAACTGATACGACAGCACCAATAACAGCAAGGACTGCATATGTATCTTCCCGCTCCCAGCTCTCGTACCATGTAGGCATTGAGCACACCTTGCGAGAGCGAGCCCCTTTTCCACTATTACTTTGAGAAATTTGTCGCCTGAAGCTCTTTTTCTTTTCAGATGTAAAGTCAGTGTTTTCTTGGTGGAGATCGAAATTTTCAGCATCGACTGGTAATTGAGTGTTCTGACAACAAGAGATATTCCCATTTGCCCTGCAACAGTCAATACCCTCTAAGTGGGAGCCACATGTGCTAGTACCAACGTCATCTGAGTTTTTGGTGCCTCTTTCCATATATGTTCCACCATTAACACTGAGCCTATATTCTTGGGATGCTTTCTGTTCGTCTTCAGACAGTCCCATCTGGCCCCTGAAATAAAATTTTGGTATTCTAGATAAACAGAAAAGTAAAAGTTTCATTGATGCATGCAAAAGTGCCTTCTGCAACCCTGCAAGCAGAGTAGGACAAATGATGCTTGAAAAGCCAATTTTTCACCTCTACAAAATTAGGATTGTTTTTACAAAACACTTCTTCATTAGTATTCCACATTAATGAGTACACTGGAATCAACATTATTGAGTTCTTAGACCCTCAGAATTTTATGAAACACTGAATTTCCATTGAATGCAAAATTTTATCTAAAAATTTTGTTTCCCCAAAAACATAAATTTGGCTCCATAAGCAGATAAGGGCACAGGTTTATGGAACTTAAGCCGTTTAAAAGGTAACTAAATATTGACACAACAATGCCTTGGAAACATACATAACTTGAATATAAACCACACTTTTAAAAGTGCCATTGCAAACGTTTTAGAGCTGACAAGTATAGAATAGCTTAAAGACACATTAAAATCATTTAGAAGTAGTCATATGCAATTTCTCCAGATGTCAGATTACAATAGCAACAGGGGAGAGAGAATTACCTCCACAACCAATCAACAATTTCTCCTTTAGCAACATGCTGTTCAAGCAACTGAGATACATCATCAGGTGTAACATAGCCATACCTAATGCACAACAAAATCAAATATATAATTAACTACCCAGCTCAATTTCATCAACTGCCTGCATCTGAGATAACAAAGCCCAAAAGAAAAGGGGCATAAGGTTTCTCCTAACCAGTGTCCGGAGACTTCCTTGTTAGTGTTTGGTCCGAATATGATCACATTTCCAGCAAACTTGTGTCCCCCGATGTGTGAGCATGGACTAACAGATATTTTTCCTTGAAGATCATGCTTCTCTATCTCCTCCCTAAGTCTACTTACTATAGCTGGTCCACAAACACCACATCGACGATCTCTTGAACCATGACAGCACACAAATATGTACCATCCAGTCAGAGCTTCAGGATTTCCAGGTAACCACTCACCATCCTTCACTAGCACCTCCTCAACAAATGTGTCAACATCAAAATGAGTCAATCTCCTGCAACATAGGTGAATTTAATCACTTAATAAGTATGCAATCAACAGCAGCAGATGCACTAGAATATATATTGTATTTCAGACCTGTATCTGATCATGTCCGGAAAGATCAACACATCCCCATTTGATGTCTCGGTTCCATCATGCCCTTCACATATTGTTAACCGAGTCTTGAAGAAAGAAAATTTATAAGGTAAATCACTATAGATATTACTGTGATCATGAAGAAATCATAACCAATTCAACAATTTACTTAAGAAAGAAATCTCTGAAAGCTGGCAGACCAAAGGCAAAACTGATTTATGTTCAATAATACTTTTATCACAAAAGATGAAGTACATAATAGCAAGATGGAATCTAAATTCGCATAAAGCATTTCAAAGGCAACGCTAAATTAAATCATGGCTACTTCCAGGACCAAAGTCAAAAATAAGAGCACTACCCTGGGTATTCAAGACTTTAACTTTCAAGAGCTACGCCTAGAGATCATACGGATGAGTCAAGAAGGATGCCAGAACTCAATTTTTAGAGCCAAGCAAAAAGATTATATATGCTCCGAGAAGGATACCAGTTGTAGAAGTAGGCATGCAAGTAAAGGTGTTGAAACAGACTAGAAATTATGAAAACAAAAGCAATAATCCGGATTGTTACTTAGCGTTCTATAAATTGCTAGCACATTGTGCACAGGGAGACCATACTGATCTGCAATTCGCCTTAACAGGATAGAGAAAATGGAATCAACTAACCAAAGATAAAATGTTTTACAATTCTTCAGCTCTCTCTAATAAGAAAGTGCACTTCTGCCCCTTACAGTATCATGTCAAATGCACCTTTGTCCTCATACTTTGAAAATTATGACTTCACAATGTCATTTTGAATTAATTTATTGCTAATCTTCAGCTTACTAATTTTCGTATGCAATTGAAGGGAATGTTTTTCTGCCAGGTAATCTAGTGGCAAATCATAAACAACCTTGAAAAACAAATAGTAGGCTGTGTGTCCACTCCTCAGTGTTGGATTTCATGATTGACTGTTAGAGCAACTGGGCAATCAACCACAATGAATCAGGTTTTTCTTCATTTCACCATTTAAAATTCTTCTTTAAGGGTGTTCATGGCTTATTTTTCCATTAATAGTACAGTAGACTGCAAGCTAAGCAAGTGATAGAGTCTCAATAGTACAATATATAGGAACATAAAATAAGGCAAAAGTTAGGTTGCTCGTTAGATCTTCACTGATCGACTCGGTGATTGCGACTTGTGGGGATACTTAATGGGAGTTCTATCACGACTAATCAGTTTTTCGCATCTTAAGCGTTAAATGTTCTTGTTCAAGAGTGAATGCCCCTCATTTTCTCCATCATTAGAAAAGTAGAATGTTCTCTCTCTCTTTCTTTTTTTCCTTTTCTAGTTTTTCGTCATAAAAAGATGGGATCAAACTCACGATGGCGTTCAGAAGAGTAACATGTGGCCATCTGCTGCTCCATAGTGGGACAAGTGAATTTTTACTGTTTTTAGTGCTTCTTTCTTAACGGTCAATTGGTTAGAGGCAGTAGAACAAAAGTTACGAGAAAAACAAACATGTACAATAACATGGCTACTTAAAGGTATTCTGCTGTACCTACACAAGTTCAATCAAAACTACGTCAAACGAGAACAATTTGCTCTTAAACTTAAGACAAGCTATGCAGGATGGAAAATGGCAAGTCATATGATCTACTTAATTATACAGGTGGACTCTAGCAATTGAAAATTGGAGACTGTTAAAGTTTAAAGAAACTGTACAAGGACAAAAAGTGTATACGAACAAATAATGTAGGAACTAACTATGCATTTTACTTTTCAGTCTATTGCTATATGCAGGAAGAACTCAGTTCAGACATCCGAATAAGTAACAATGTAAAAAAGCAAGGAATGCCCATCTTTTAAAAGAAAGCATCTGCATAAATTTAAGAAAGTTTTAACTCGAAAGCTGATGGAAGCAGTTCTTCCCACCCTATTCAAATGGCGTGTTCGCCTGTTTGCTTATCAACATAGCCAAAAGTTTAAGGATGATATGGGATGTAAATTATTTGATTTTTTCCCAAATAAAATTTGACATTTTGAAACAACATGATAAAAGACTAACAAGTTAGAAATATACTAATTTCAGAATGCTAAAAGACCTAATAACCAATCACGCATCTAAATCCGTTAGGGTTTAGCTATATAAATCCTTCATATTCATTCAACTCTAATCAGGCTTATTTCAGGTAAATTACAATTAGATGTTAAAAGACTAATTTTTTGAATAAAAGAAATAGTATTGGTCAAACTTTAATATAGTACTAATTGAATTTCCAGTAACTCATTAGCAATTATATCCATGGGCATACTAGAAGATAATAACAGCTAACACAATGCAGTATAGCTACTTATACAAAATTTTAAAACAAAGTGACACGTGGCATAAACCTGTTTGTTGATATCATTCTTGCGAGCAGAAAGAGCAGCAGCAAGAAGCCTAGGCAAGCGATCAAACTCAGTGGCCTGAATACGCGGAGGCCAAACTTGAGGATTCTTGTAGCAAAGGAAGACGTGGCGGTCATAGAAGTCGACAGTACCAACGAGTGGAGTCTGGCGAAAATCAGGACGGGAAAAACCGAACTCGGCATCGGAAGTGCCGGCGGCGGCGTCGAGGCCGGAGAGAAAACCCTCGTTCTGGAAACTTCCAGAAGCGCTACCGATCTGAGAAGAATCTAGAAGGAAGCTGTCCGCATCGGAGACGGTTATTGGGGAAGAAGTGTTAGGGTTTATGAAATCGTTGTCCCTGTTGCTACTCGCCATTACTGAGTGGACTGAGGGAGTATTAATGGTGTGTTTCAACTTTGACCTCTGGGATAGTGAAATGGACTCTTATTCAATTGATGACTCCTCTGTTATTACACCCTGTACTTTAGTTTCCCCTTTTTTTTTTCTTTTCCACATTTGGGTGGACAGTGAACTTTTTTAAGAGTTAGCTTTAAAAAAGTCGATATATGAACTTTTAACTTTGAATTTTCTCATTTGAATATTGGAACTTGAGAAAATATTTACTAACAAACACCTTTTATCGTTGACTATGCTTAGGTAGAAATATTATAGCTGATGTGGTCATTTACGTGTTAATCATCGGTATTAAGTAGGGGTGTTCGTCGGTCGGTACGGTACGGTATTTAGACATTTCTGTTCGGTATTTTCGGTATTCTGTTTCTTAAAATCTTATACGAATACCGTACCTAATTAAATTCGTTATAGTTCGATTTTTCTCCTTTCGGTTTCGGTTTATTCGGTTCGGTAACTTCGGTTTGAATACTAACTAGTGCATAGAGCCATAGACTCTAATATTCTTAATTAAAGTACTCAAAAATACAAAACTGAAAATGTTTGTTGACAAAATTTTTATCCAAAACTAGCAAATATCGACCCAAATAGAGAAAATTATACATAAAAGAATATTTGATCGTTAAAGATGTCTTGTTACTTGTTTAGAGTTAATTGATGAACTTAGAGAATAAAAGAAAGTAAAATTTTAAATTTTTTATATTTATGTTATAATTGATAATATATGTTTTGTGTAATATAATATATATTTCGGTACGGTATCGGCATTTCGGTATTTTATTTTAAAATACCAAATACCATACCTAATACCAATGTTTTAAAAAACTAAACCAAATACCATATCAAATACCAAAATACCGTATACCAAATACCAAAATTTTCGATTTTGGTACGGTAATTCGATATTTACCAAATTATGCACCGCCCTAGTATTAAGCGCGTGAATATGATAAATAATTAAAAAAAAGAGATAAATAATTAATTTTAAAAAATAGAAAAATTCATCGGGTCAAATTTAGAGAAATCCACTTCAATTCATCGGGTCTGACTATTCTTCAATTTTTAACCATTCAATCTTGCAATTCCAAGCCGTAGAGATTGTTCTCCATGCCAAGAACTACCTCTCCACCAAAAATCAGAAGATTTCAATGTAGGAATCGCCACTTCTGATGACCTGCTACTCTCCGGCGGGCTCCAGTTGGTCGGAGATGGCGTTCCAGTGGTCCAAATCGCCTTAGAGCAATGCCAATCGAGCTGCTGAGGAGGTCACGCCAACTGGCCACTACAACGAATTAATTGTCACAACTTTAAAAAAAAAAATTATGCGACAGTACTGATCGAAAAATTTCTTCGGCAATCTACCTAGCTAGAAAAAAATAAGAAAAATTTGGAGAGAGAGGAGAGGATGAAGAAGAACCTAGGAAGGGAGTGTTGATATGGAAGTAGACGAATGAGTTGCAGGTGTGGGGGGAGGGGGGATGAAGGGAAGGAACGGGGAAGAGAAAGCTGGAAGGGTTTAAGTTTTTTCTTTCTTATTGTATTTATTTTTATTTTTAAAAATAAATATAGGTGACAATTTTTATTTAAAAATTACACATGTCATTAGTTGGGTAGGGTCTTACTTTTGAATTGGTCATTTGCTGACTGGATGGACACGTCTGTGTATGTGTAATACACGCGCATAGGCTCAAGGATCAGATGTGTTTATTAGTTAAGGGAATCATGAGTTCCGCCATTGAAGCAGCGCGTCGTGCTATAATCGGACACTTCCATCGTGCTATGAGCGGACAATTCCGAGTGTTCAAATGGGAAAATCCAAAGTTCGTGTATCGGCTTTCAAAAGCCCTACAAGTTTAAGTGGCCAGGAAGTCATTTCACCTTTTATTTATTATGTGTTATAAATAGAATTATATTGAAGGTGAATGTCTTGCCCTTGAGTCTAAAGGTTTTAGGTTGAGCAGGACGAAGACGGAATACCTCGAGTGCAAATTTGGGGCCGAGCCAACGGAAGCGGGAGTGGAAGTGAGGCTTGACTCTCAAGTCATCCCTAAGAGGGGTAGTTTCAAGTACCTTGGGTCAGTTATTCAGGGGATCGGGGAGATCGACGAGGATGTCACACACCGTATAGGGGTGGGATGGATGAAGTGGAGGTTAGCGACGGGAGTCCTGTGTGACAAGAAAGTACCACCGTTACTAAAAGGTAAGTTTTATAGAGCAGTGGTTAGGCCTGCCATGTTGTATGGGACCGAGTGTTGGCCGGTTAAGAGCTCACACATTCAGAAGATGAAAGTAGCAGAGATGAGGATGTTGAGGTGGATGTGCGGGCATATAAAGATGGATAAGATTAGGAATTGAGATATTCGAGAGAAGGTGGGAGTGGCCCCCATGGAGGACAAGATGCGGGAAGCAAGACCCAGATGGTTCGGGCACATCAGAGGAGGAGCACTGATGCACCGGTGAGAAGGTGTGAGCGACTGGCGGTGGTGGGCACGAGGAGAGGTAGAGGGAGACCTAAGAAGTATTGGGGAGAGGTGATCAGGCAGGGCATGGCGCGACTTAGGATTACTGAGGACATGGCCCTTCACAGGGAATTGTAGAGGTCGAGCATTAAAGTTGTAGGTTAGGGGAAAGTTGTGGATATTTCTACAGCGCACTAGAGTGAGACTAGCCAGTTAGGAGTTAATCTTAGGATGCTACTGATCAGCTACTGATGCAGGGCTTTATCTGTTGGATATTAGTATACCTCCCATCTTTTTCGTATTTCCTATATTTCTTATATTGATGTAATTTTGTTATTTTATGGTATGGTATATATTTTATGTTATTTTAGTATGAGTCTATTGATAGTACTAATATATCGTCTCTTGTTGCTTTCTTGAGCCGAGGGTCTCCTGGAAACAGCCTCCCTACCCCTCGGGGTAGGGGTAAGGTCTGCGTACATATTACCCTCCCCAGACCCTACTTGTGGGATTATACTGGATTGTTGTTGTTGTTATATTGAAGGTGAATGTCTATATTCTAAAGAGATTTTAAGGTTTGTTACTTGGTGGCTAAGTCACTTTTCCCCTATAAATAGAGGGGTTCTATTCTATTGTAATTGATTCCAAATCAATAATAATTCTCTCTCCCTACTTTTCTCAATACTCTTCTTCTTCTTTTATTATTTCATAACACGTTATCAGCACGGGACTCTAACCAATTGAGTAGAAGTTTTGGGATTGAGCATAATAATTGTCAATAGTTCTATGAACTTCCTTCATGATTGAATTCTAGATTTAAGGTAAGTATTTTACCTTATTTTTCTCTTTTAAATTCTTGAAATTCTATAATTTGATTTTAAATACAAGCAAAGAAAATAAATTTTGATTATAACTCTAATAAGTTTGTAAGAAATTATAATCACCCAAAGTGGTAAAATTTCTATGCCTTGCCATGATCAAATTCATTTATGATTGTGGGTAAAGAATTGAAAACCCGTCCCATTGAATTTGTTTCATTCACATTCCCCTAAGAGAATGTGATAGCAGTATGTGATAAGTCTGAAAGAAGATAAAATTATTACTATGAATGTACCAATGGATGAGGACGTGGCAATAGACCAAATTATAATCGTCATCATTGTGGTAATGAGAACAATAAGGATTCTCAAATAATTCTTCACTTTGTGAAAGTAATGTTTGTCATCAATTTGACATGAGATTTTGTAAAGCACATATAAATGATTATGGTCCATTCATGATATGAACGTGACAACATGTGATTTATGAATACATATTCATTTTTGGAAGAATATGAGCGTGCTAGTGGTATATACCACACTCACCTCTAGAAGGAGGTTTGAGAGGAAATAAGAAAATAGTGTCATTATTATGGCATAAATGGTCATTGGTCACGTACTTATTGTACGCCAAAATATTTTGGCATTGTGATTATTAAAAGGCAACGGTAATGCAAGAAACATATCTTGCTTATAATTTTGACCATAACCATAATGGTATAACTTTCTCTTTAAAAGAGATATTCACCATATGGATATTGATGAATATGTGGTACTACAAAATTAATTGAGAACTCTGCAAGAGCCAATTATACTATTTTGGAGAAACACAATTGAATACCATTAAGGTATGGTGTTGTAGTAAGTCTCAAAGAAACTTATTCAGTTTCCAAAGTATTCGCGAAAGCGGTTGATTATGCTGAGACTATAAATAAAGGAAAGATTTAATATCTTCTATTACTACAACTTGTAGGGAGGTAATATGTATGTGAAAAGCTACCCGCTTTATTCTCCAGTTTGTACTACATAAATAAAAGAGTGCCACAATAAAGTAGATGTCTATTGATATAAAATCCCATATCATAATAAACTTGAAGTTTATTGACAATTGCACACTTCATGGTGTAAACCTGAAGTTTATCAATATTGATAATTTATCCAGTTGGCATAATTGATTTGGCCATATTAATTTAAGTACGATTTGCAAAAATAAAAGAGAATTCACATGGGTAAATATTAAAGAACTAGAAAGTTCTTTACGAATTCTCTTTCATTGTTTGTTCTTATTAATTAATAGACCAACTAAAATTGGGATTAAATCCCATGAGTGCTGGAAATATCAAAAGTGAATATGAGCCTATTCACCTGCCATGTATACCACATAAGATGCATTTATGAGATTGTTACATGTGCGATTATTATTAACCCGCAGCCTGACCGATGTTTGCGACTCAGTAATTTAATTTCAAGCATAATTTCCATATTTTCTATTCAAGACAGTTTATCTTGATAAGTTGGTCTATATCACAGTTGGTTTAGCAAAATAATTTATTGAGTGCCTCCACTTAATAGCTAAACTATTTCTTATGAGAACAAAGTTATCTATATCAGTTTGATATACGTTATATACCAAAGTATATTATTTTCTCCCCTCACAAGTGGTTCGGGGTCAGGAATCAAATAATTCCATCTTATTATTATTGATGTGCGGTGTATATTTTGACTAACACCATAAGGCACAATGATGAGTTCTCAAAGTTGAGGAAACAAGTTAGTTTTTCTAACATGAGGGGGAGATAATATAAGCAGTTGAGAAAA